ACACACACACAAATTCTCAGGCTGCCGTGTATGTGAAAACGACAGAAAAGTGACTGAAGACCTCTCTGTGAATCCATGTGAACCCTGAATCCTTAAACCCTTTGATTCAGCAGCCGGCGAGACTTGGGAAATCTGCGGACATCCGGTTTTTCAATCCTTGAGATTGCAGTTTTGAGCCTTCCCAGGGGTGCTGTTGAAGCCCAACAGAAGCCCAACCGGCTGATGCGGCGAAGCTCGGTGCCACCGTGGACTCGGTCTAAGCTCCTGGCCTTCCTTATCCCAATCCGAGCCTCGGGGCGTCGGGCTCCGCCGGGCGGAGCGCCCCTGAAGCATACAGCAGAAAAAGGTTGGTGCGGATGCTGGATTCGCATCTCAGTCTGGCAAGAGGACCTCCTGAGGACCTCCTGCCACACGCTTTTTCTATAGCAATGAAGGGTTTGGAACCTTTGGAACCTGCCTGATGATCCGATGGGCCAATGAATCTGCTGGGCGGGGACACCGGGGACCCAAGCAATTTTCTTCATCTTTGCACCCTTTAGTGAGGGCCACCCAATATGCCGCAATCCATCACTAAAGCAAAGGTTCTGGGATGTTCTGGGTGAAGCATCATTGAGCAGGGAAAGGTGTTGCCGCCTCACTCTGGCAAAGCCATAGTTGGTATAGCGATGATAAATGAAATCAGTGATGCAGTTATATAAAGATCAACAAATCCATCCAATACTCCATCCAATATTATCCATGCGATGGCATCAATCCATGCCGCTGGACAAAGCTGGGTGAAGCAGCTGGATGAAGCGAAGCTACACATGGCGACCGGCCACAGCTTGCTACAAATATACCAACAGGGTTGCTATATATGGCGGGGGGTTCGACGTCTTCCACAGAGATCTTGACATTAGCAAACCGTCGATCACAAGGCTTCCAAACTTGCCAGCCTACCAAACAGGTCAACAAGGTGACATAAAACTAGCCAATATCCCTTCTCCACATCCGCCGACATTCACCAAGACATCTAAGAGCTCCAACGTATGGCCCGCGCCGCACCGGCCTGTGAAACGTAGCACCGCTGGTCACGGTCGAAACGCAAGCAGCGTTGGCGTTGGTCGTTTGGCGACGTCCTTTTGGACCCATCAGTTTTCAGGAATCATCTGAACTCACTGAACCACAGTGTGCAAATAAGAACCTGAGCTCATCCTGATGATCAAAAACTGTACTGTACAACTCGTTTGGTCATCTTTTCCTTTTCTGACCTCACGGTGTAATTACTGTTTTCCACAGCGGTTCCTATAGTGAGATGCAAAGACTCTGAAGATACGAAGAGTTGACACAAACACAAGTCAAACCAAAAGCAGGACCTGGTCCGTCTTTTTGTGTTTTGCACCTGGAATCATCCTCGAACCTTTTCCGCAATCACATCATCAGTGGACGCTCCTCCACGACTCAAACACACGGATCAGGCCTCCTGATCTGCGTGTGCCATGGGTTCCGAGCACAATCCGGTGATGCTTTGCTTGGACTGTGCTGAGTGAGCTGGGCTCGTCGGGTTGAAGCTGGAGCCAAAGAGATGCCGCGTATACCGGATGCACTGCTTTCAGAGGCCTTCTATGCAAATGATTGGTGGAGCTGGGCAAAGCTCCCAGGCTCCCCGTGCCTGTTCCTTTTGATCGACATGCATCAAGTGTGACAGCTTGGCGGTGCGTCTGACATGTCCAACTGGATGAGCTGTAAGTGTTTTGCCCACCTCCATGCTTGCTTTGATGAGAAACAACATATAAGGTTGAGACGACTTCTTTGCTCCCGCCGAACTCAGTGGCAGATCCACCGACTTTTGCCGCTCACCGAAGAGCCGTTTTCCGCCTCCCGGGCAGGCGCCGAAGGAGTTCGTGGACCGGATCTTGAGGAACTTGTCAGGTCTTTTTGGCAGGTTGAATGCCTGGGCGAATTCAATACATTTTGTGCTATAAGGAGGTTTCTAGGTATTCTCATGATTCATGAAGGGTTTATTATACATAGACTTTAGATTCAGCTGGAAGTGACAAGCATCTAGAATCTAGAAGCGGAATGGTACAGAAAACGATGAGTGAAGTCACACATCCAAGAAATTTGCAAGTAATTAGTATAGGTTCTGCTATGAAATCCACAGATCAAAGGTATACCACACCCCGGTGTTTGTGTGGTTGAACATTGTTTCTGAAGCTTGATTGTCTTTGAGCAAGGTGGGAGGATTTGCGAAGCGACTTCTGTCTAAGATATCTTCTGACTGTAGTCATAGCTTTGGTGGATTCATCTGAGCAACACCATGGAAAGAGTTCATTCAAAAGTACAAAGGCTTGAAGGAATCGGTTTCACATGGTTTAAACCCCACCAATCAAGCCTTCCAGGCCAACGTAGATAGAAGAACCGCAAAGCCCAGGTGGAACCCAACACTTTGGGCTGTAGAAGGACTGCCCGGAAACCCATCTCATTTGAACTTGTCATCCAGGTATAGATTCAAGAGGCTACCGGACCATGGGGCCATCCTCATCTACTTCCACCAAAGCATTGGCATTCTTCAAGCTGCAAAGATCTTGGAGTAGGTTGACCAAGCTCCAATTCTGATCATTTCCAGTCCCTGTCCAACGTCACCAGCGCCACCTGCCTGACGCTGCAGCAGCGACGCTGAGAAAGCGGTGCAAGGCGCAGCTGGTGCAGGCCAAGCCGATGTGGCAGCCGAGGTGCAGGACAGACCTCCAACGTGCACCGTTTTGGATTTGCTTCTGGGGGTTCAACCTTTTGCTATTTTTGAGCAAGGCAAGTCCTGTCAACTCTGAGAGAACGTTGGCTTATAAAGAAAACATTAAACAAAAAGGAATACTAAGGACCCGTCATCCTACACTATACTGGATCTTGGAGTCCACTGAAACCCACTGATGAGACTCCTTCTCAGTGCTTCGGCCTCTTTTTACACCCAGAGTTTTTGGAAAACACCGGGTGGATGCTTGAAGTCCTTAAAGAAATTACAAAAGCATCCAAACAACACATGGTGACTCAGGTGGCGGCTTGTTCTCCATGCGCGCCTGGCAGAATTCCCTGGGTGTTTGAGTCTGACTTTCGGGCAAAGAAAGGCGAAGGACGTTTTGTCCAAACGTTGGCAAAGCCCCAGATTGTGGAAGCCAAGTTCCAGTCCCCACCAATCTCTCTCTGGATCAAGTCTAATTAGTCATGTCACGTCCCAGTTTTGCCTCGACGAAGGAGGTCTCGAGATCTCCCACCACCGCCACCACCACTGCCCTCTCACCGCTCCTGAAACGCCGGCTGCAGCAGCGATGCCAACGCGGTCGGCGGAAGTTGAGCAACGGCAGCCGGTGCGGCAAATTCCATTTACCTCAGAAGTGCCGGGAGTAGTTCAAACGGATCATCTGATCCACTACAAATTGGCACCTGGAAGAACCGGTTGACAGTTGGTTTTTTGACAAACTCTGTCAACCAGAACCATCACCCAAAGACCTGGTCAGGAAAGAAGATATGATGAGGGCCACCACATATCTATCTATCATATTCTATCCTTCTATATTATGACCCAGTCTTCATGCACAGCCGCTTGGACTTTTGTCCAGTGTTTGGCCCCGGAGACGTCCATGCAAAATTCATTGAGAACCTCTCTGGAGCACCAGGTCCACTGGCACGGGCGTTCAGATCCTTCAGATCTTCGGATTCGGTGCCGCGGTCGACCCGGAGGTGTTTTTTCAGCGTCAAACGGTGGTCCTTTTGGTACAAAGTCATAACCATGCCCGCTATTTCCCCAGAATCCAAATGGACAAAAACGGAACAACAACATTCAATTCATGTTTGGAGATGTTTTTTTGGGAACCCTTTCCTTCCCACAGGCATGCAGTAACTCTAGGATGGCAAGGTTTCGCCCCAAAAGCTTCTGTTCGCTCTACGCGGCTTTTTGTTTAAACGATTTCTTAATCTTCTTCCCTGTGGCAACTGGATGCTGGTGATGCAAAGCTTCCAGGGCTACATATCTTGCACCTTTTCGACTGCGAAAATACACACAATAGTAGATTTTCTCGTAAGTGTTCTTATGTCCTAGTACCCGAGGTGGGAGAGGAGTTGCGGGAGCAACACAGCGAGGGCTTGACCCTAATGGGAAAAACGCAATTCAACACGGTCTCTCTCGGATTTCACCGTCTCACCTGCTGACCCAAACCGCATCTCTTTGTCTATCACCTCCAAGAACAGTCGTTGCCACAAACGGCATCTCATCTCTGAACCATCCAACTCCACAAGGCAAATGGTCAACATCGTGTGACTCGCACCAGTCAAAGTTGTTCTATATTATATTTCCTTGGTGATTTTACACGCACAATTAATTTTTTTAGGGCCGGTTGTTCAAGAATTTGAGCTCCTTCCCCCTATGGTCCATCCTCAGTCTTGTCCAGCAAGCGGCCGGCCAATCATGGAGCCAGCGTGTAAAATCTTGTTGCCTCAAAAGCGAGGTGAGACGTGAAAACGTGATGAAGAAGTATAGAGACCTTTCTCATGAATCGGCCCCAAGAAATCCGGAAGAAGACTCTGGAAGAACAAAAAAGACTTCAAGAAGTCAACTGCGAACATACTGTGCACACCATTAGAGATGGAGACTCTAGATCAAACTTAGCTCTCAAAGGGAAGCCGGGTAGGAGATTCCTATGGTTTGTCCCTATGGGTGAAATCCCATACTTTTAGGGTTTCGACTCTACAACCAAACCCAAGCGACAAAGTTGAATCAACAAGTTCGACTTCTTAGATCTTCTTAGTGTTTTTATGTGTTTTTCTTCCCATTCTTGGGATTCTTTACTCTGCTTGGAAGATCCCCGTATCCCACGCTTTCCACCCAACTTCGGTACCCTCAGCTCTGGCTCTTTGAAAATCATCCAAATTCTTCAATCTCTAGCTCTAGCTGTAGCAGTTCGGTTTTTCGAAAAATTAATTGTTCACGCTCTCCTGTTTCACTTTGGCACGAGACATGTCGCATATCAATGGAAAAATCCAATTGGTCCCTCTCCCTACTTTGGTTGTTGGGGCCCCTCCAGAGTTTTGACAGATTCAAAACACCATGCAACAGCCAACCAGATTGGCAAAACAAAAAACACCACCGGCTGCATGTTGTTACGGATCTTCCAACAGAATCAAGATGTCGTTGGAGTTCAAGTACAATCCAAAAGGTTTCCAAACTGCCAGCCTTGATCCTTCTCAGCCTGGAACAAGCATACTCTACGTCCGCTGACATTCCCAAAATATCTAAGAACTCACGTCCAGCCCAGATCCAAGCAACAAACACACCGCACAGATTCAAGTGAACACCCAACAAGTTCATTGGATGCAAGCTTTCTTGCAACATCTTTAGGATCTACCAGTTAGATCCGTTTCTTCATGAACTCTCAAGATGAACAACCTCTGAGCTCCTCACCCTCCTCACCTTCCTCATCCTCTGAGCCTCAGGTCGCTGTCGGCGGCGCGACGCGGATCACGGATCCAAGAAGCCTCACGATTTTAGATCAATCAATAGGATCTAGACCAGTAGCATGGAAGAATCTAGATGCCACATCACCAGTGAGCTGATAATTGCTCGGATTACCTTTCTCTCTGGATTTTGTCCTTTTGAGGACTCTCCAGCTCTGGCTCTTTGAAATCATCCAAATTCTTCAATCTCTAGCTCTAGCTGTAGCAGTTCGGTTTTTCGAAAAATTAATTGTTCACGCTCTCCTGTTTCACTTTGGCACGAGACATGTCGCATATCAATGGAAAAAATCCAATTGGTCCCTCTCCCTACTTTGGTTGTTGGGGCCCCTCCAGAGTTTTGACAGATTCAAAACACCATGCAACAGCCAACCAGATTGGCAAAACAAAAAACACCACCGGCTGCATGTTGTTACGGATCTTCCAACAGAATCAACATGTCGTTGGAGTTCAATTACAAACAAGCAGCCTACTGGAGCAAAAGGTTTTCAAACTGTCAGCCTTGATACTTCTCAACCTACCGAAAAGGTGAACATACTTAAACAAGCAACCCATACTCCGCATCTACTCACGTTCACCAAAACGTCCAGAATCCAGCCTGTAGCTCCGGCTGCTGCCTGTCAAGCGCTGCTTGTAGCTTGGTCGTTGTTATAGTCATCTGGTGAGGTCGCTCTGGACCGATGATGAGGATTGGAATCATATCAAGTCAATATCCCTTTTCATGACGTCACCCGCGTGCATCTGGTTGCGCTGTTTCCATGGAGAGTTCCGGACACGCAAAGACTCTGAAGATGCGCTCGCAAAAAAAACGAAGTCAAATCAGGTCAGACCGGATCTCGTCTCTTTTGGGTAATTCACAACTCCTCCGCGACTCAGTACATAGACCGGGCCTCCAGATCAGGGCGTTCTGGTTCCATGCCCTTCGCGCAAGATCCGGTGATGGCTTAAGGCTTTCGGAACTGCACTGAGTGAGCTGGGCTCGTCGGATTCAAGCTGGAGCCAAAGAGAGCCGCGTTCCGGGTGGATTTCATATGCTGGAGACTCTGCTGAGTAAAACGTTTCCTAATGCTAACAAGCTCCCCATGCATCAAACTAAGTGTGATCGACATCGATCAAGTACAAAAGCTCTAGGGGTATAAAGAAACAAACGGCGGAGCAGTGAATCCGACTTGCTTGATCCATTGATGAGCTACACATGTTTTTTTGCATTCAAGAGAGCTGCGTAGATCCACCAAGTCCCTATTGATAACTCTGCATGTTTTTTCCGCATCTTTTTTGGCGCTCAGCTTCTCTGCTCCAACGGAATATCCTTCTGACTTCGTCATATCAAGTTGGCTGCAAAGGCTCCCTGGGGCGGTGCAAAAGGAGTTGACTGGCCGGAGATCCAAAGGAACCCTCCGGCATCATTCGGGGATCATGGGACTTTCCCACAAGCTGGAAGTGAGAAAATCCATCAATAAAAATGATTCTAAACCATAAAATCTGATGCCCGGTGCACAACTTCAACACAGCAGCTCTTTGATCCCAAAAACCATTCCGATCTTCACTCTATAGGATCCAAGAATACCGGACAACAATCCACGCATCCGGGCATCGGGGTCCAAATGGGAGTGTGTTAGGAGTCGGTGCAACCATCGAGTGTAGCTTTAAGCTGTTTTTCTGGTGAAGGAATAGCAATAAGCTAACTACTTCAATACATGGAGTCTATATGGATCAAACACCTTGGGCTGTCTGGCTTCCTGCAAACCGGTCTCTAAAAGAGGAGGTTTCCCTCTCTAAAAGTGTTTTTTTTCGACATGTCCGAACTATGGCGCGGGATGGAAGGGCGACAGCAAGCAAGCGTGCGTTGGGGAACGAACCTTGGAAGAATCTAAGTTTCTTGTGATTGCAGTCATAGAAAGCTGTCATTGGCCTTGGTGGAGTATCTGAGGGTAGCCATGCAAAGCCTCCATTTCACAGGACAATGGTCAAAACCCTCCGCCCCACAAACCCAATCAATGCATTGCCCCAACATAGTTTAACACTCAATACCGTACGTATAACTTTATAGGATCCAGGCATGCCTTGCGGTGCAACACACCCCCAATCACCGGAATTTGTGACATGCCACTTCCTGATGCCTGATACCGAGACGGTATGGTTGGTCTAACATCGTTCCAACGAACTTCCCACGGGAACCTCCGTTCTCTGCGATCATTCAAAACCATGTCCAGTTCCCCCGCAGGCTCACCTTCGATGGTTCCGGCTGTCTCGTCGCAACGCCGGGGTGGACGCAGCCGCACAGCTGCGGAGGCTGACCTTCGGGGTGTGATTGATGGAGCGAGTGGATGAGAATGATCATTGTTGGAGTAGATCGATATACTGTAGATATAGAGATCCCCAAATAAATATAGCAAGTGGCACGGTTTCCAACAGATTGTACTTTTCTATCTAGTGGGGCCACGGCTGGACAGCTAAAACAGATCGCTCCGAGGCGTCTTGTGGAAAAACTCCTAAAGGCCCTATTGCACCAAACTCCGATCGCTACGGTGTTCAATCAAACTCACAGGTGAACATCGCCGTCGAAATGTTTGTGACGAGTCGGGCACTTGGTGGGATGAACCTCTTTCTCTGGCGGACTGGCTTCGGTGGACTGCCACGGCAGGTGGGCAAGGCAGGGAGGCTGCAGCGTTGATCTCCGGTGTGCGAAGGTGGACGATGAGGACCCTTTAGAGACTTTAGAGATATACGGATTCCATATAACTTACAAAAAAGTTACTATAATATAGTATATTGTCCTGATGGCATATTATTGGAAACATGTGCCGGCCACTCAGCCACTCAAGATCCTGACCACTCAGCCACTCAGCCACTCAAGATCCAGAGTGACTGACACGAAGAAAGCCTGAGTGGTTGAGTGGCTGAGTGGCTGACAGTCTGAGTGGTTGAGTGGCTGACAGGAAGAAAAGTGTGAGTGCGTGAGTGGCTGAGGAAGAAAAGTCTGAGTGGTTGAGGGGCTGATTGGAAGAAAAGTGTGAGTGGCTGAGTGGCTGACAGGAAGAAAAGATACTGCGGCACCCGGGCTAACGCAGAGCGCGCAACTCATGGCCCAGCGAGTGTTGAAAGGACGGCAAGAAAAGCACTGAGTGGCTTAGTCCAGTCTAGCCACCTTGCGCTTTAGAAATTATCAGGATTGACCGAATGTCCAGCCGTTTGCGTGCAAGGGTCTTGCCATCAGGATTTACAGGGATCGAAGAGCAGGGATCGAATCATAAATTGCCAGCACCGTTCATGATTCGTTGCCGATGTTTTTAAAGCTGCCCGCAAAATACTGCATTGTCGAAAAGAAGGGATCGAATAATGATTTGCCAGTACCTCCGTTCATGAATTGGTTGCCCCTTTGTTCCTCCCCATCCCTCCCAAAATCCGAAGATCTCTTGGGGCCGACGTGAGCCTTTGAACATGGCAGCCATGGAGCTCTTTCTGATTTGACGTTTCTTGTGAGAAATACTTTACATTTATCTACGTTATGACCTTGCAGGTTCAACCACAGCCTTTCATGAACGTGTGGAGCCAAGAAGGTGATGCAAGCACTCTTTTTGCGCGTGCTCGTGCAAGATATGAACAAAGTCGCTCTAAAGTGTGTATAGCTATATAACTCTTAGAGTAAGAGGGTGCTTTAGCCAAAGAAGACAGACTTCAGTCTTTGCGTCGGCTTTGACTCGAATAGAACATCTGTCCAGTTCTACAAGTAGGCATCAGCTACTACTAATACTTCTACTACGACGACGACTCCACACCAGCCACTCAACCACCCAGCCACTCAGGCTTTTCTTCCTGTCGAAATGGATAAAATGACAGATAAGTCTATTGAACGTATATATGAACTATAGAGACCCGCTAAGAATGCCTCAGTTCGAGGCTTTCCCATTCGAACATTAACTGAATTACGTTGAAAGCAAACGACTATCCATCAAAAAGAATCAAAATTCTGGACTAATTATTTATTCATCAAAGCATCACTGCCACTCTCTTGCAATCTATGCATTTGTCTGAACAACTACTGTACTTCAATGTACAAAATTCATAATGAAGGTTCCAAGTTCCAAATGGCAGTCGGTCAAACGATTCACGTGCACCGTTAGATACCTTGTAGTTGCCCAATCCGTGCCTATCAGGATTGCTGCAAAAGGTTGCTATTTTCACGGAATAAGACAATCAATCTAAAAATATCTAAAAACAGGATACAATTACTTAATAGGATACTCATGATGCTTGAGCCATCCCCATGCACATCTGTAGTCGATTCCAATCTTTTCGAACAATGCGCCAGCCATACTCTCGAAACACATCTTAGCCCTTCCTGAGCAACGGAGAAGAAGGTGAGCTGCTCGAAGAGCGCGAGTTTGAGCCGCCCAACATGGCCCACTCGGCCGGCAGATAGATAGTGATTGATGATGGCTTTGAGCCAAAATCTGCGGGACCAAGCTCGCTGAAGTCTGACCGTGTTTCGTAGGGTTCTTCGATGTTCTTCGGATAATGTCACATGTATCTGCTAATCTGCAGCTTAAAGCATCTTAAAGCAAACATCAACAAACCCTGCAATGATCTTGGAACCCCAGAATGGTCGTGCAAATGAACCGCGCTGTGGTTCCAGCTCAGCTCCAAGCTCTTTTATGCTCTTTTTCCGTGAAACTCACTGGGAGGTCTCAAGCTCAGAAAGCATCTTTGGAGACATCCGACACACTTGATTTGTGAGGAAACACATCCGACTGGCTCTCGCTAAAGCGCAGGCTCCTCTGGCTTCCAAACGATGATATACTGTAATGTACGCAGCTGCCACAGCATGAGGAAGCACAAATCAAGCAGCTTTGAAACCGGCCCGCAAGGCCAGATATTGACTTCCAACAATGCGTAGATACAAAGGATCTGCTGATGGTCTGTTTCCTGTGGATGCTGTTTCTCAATCTCCATCCCTATTCTCAACCCTGAGCATTTTACGACCTCTATATAATTCATCCATACATGATAAATGCATGCACGAATGATTGCATAAAGTATCAAACCCTATGAGGAAACGAGGATCCAAATACTCTACATGCAGTCTCTTCATGTCTCTTCCACCTGTGTGTCTAAAGGGTCCCCGTTTTGCCCTTTCTATCTTCTCGCCCTGGCCCTGGAGTCGCATCAAGCCCTGAAACCCAACCGCTCCAAGACGGTGCCGCATGCCAATTCATGCCAAAGTATGCCAAAGCTGGCTAGCTTCCGTCGAAGACTTCGGGCTTGGCATGACCACCTTGGTGCTTCGGCCGTCTCTTGGAGTCTCAAAGGACACCTTTGCCAGCCTCTGCCTGTTTGGACATAAAAACAAAAGTTCCATGCGTCATTGACAAAGTATCTTAGGGATCTTAGAGTATCTCTATATATATATATATCTTTCTTGGCTTCTGAGAACCTTCGGTCCGTTTTCACTGGGCCTGTCTCCAGGAAAATGCTCCTCAGTGAACGTGGGTCATGCGCCTGGCAACGCGGAACTCGGAACGAATCCACAGAGTGGTGACCCGGTGACGTGCAAAGACTTTTTGGCACACGGAAACCAATCCAGGATGAATTCGGATTGATCATGATTGATCATGATTCATGATTGATATGGTTGATTCAGTTACAGTACTTAAGAGGATGGATCATGAGGTGTGCTGTGCTTGCATAAACGTCGTCCAGGTTCGACACTACGTCGTAGGGGAGGCATATGGAGTATGCAAGTGTCAGGGTCGAAACAACTTGTCTAAGCCTAAGTGGATGAAGTGGTCAGTGCGGAGAATATGTCCCAATAGCATTCAATAGCTTCAATTTCTTGAAGTGCCAGCAGTCCCATGGGACTTTCGTAGAACATCGTAGAATGATCTGATTAGCTTGAGACCTGTCCAAGAAAGTCGAGTGGACTTTCAGAATTTGTCGGAGTCGTTTCAGCCGGAGTGCAATTGCATCTATTTTGTTGCAGTTTACTTTGTGTGACTTGGATAGTTGAGGCTGCACACAAGCGTTGATTGTATGAGTGTGTTATGCGATCAAAGTTCCACTCATGGACACTCAATATTGCTCAGTTCATATGATGTCCTGGTGCTGCTCATGCCGAAGGATTCAAACAAAGCAATGCCATCCCATTCCCTACTAAGCTCTGAAAACTCAGCCAGCTGGTGTTGACCACCGTGGTTGCTTCACACCTGCAGCAGTTTCCCATCTGTCGAGAGCAGCGCCAAATGTGGCCTCAGCTGTGTTCGGGTCAGGCAAAAAACTTCACTCCGGATATCAATCGGAAGTGGCAAGCCTGGACATGGAAGGGAGTCATTCATCATCGCTCCAGGAAGCGAAGCCGCCTCCGTCCTGGAATGCCCTTCTACGTTTGATGTCAGAACTGTTTTTTGATGTTTCGGGGTCTGCGCAGTGCCCCCCTCCTCTGGCATCTACCTCTGGACAGTCCCAAAAAGTTGTTTCAGCCACTCAGGATTTTCTTCCTGTCAGCCACTCAACTACTCAGGCTTTTCTTATTGTCAGCCACTCAGCCACTGAGGCTTTTATCTACGTTATGACCTTGTAGGTTCAACCACAGCCTTTCATGAACGTGTGGAGCCAAGAAAGTGATGCGAGCACTCCTTTTGTGTGTGCTCGTGCAAGATATGAACAAAGTCGCTCTAAAGTATGCAGTGCCTGGAACATCCCTACATCCTAACATCCACCTGGATATGTTAGCAAACACTCGCATACTGAGGCACGAACATATAAGGAATAGAGTGTCTTGATGAAATAGCTGGTTTGTTATAGCAAATCTGGGGGGTAAATTTACCCCCCACTTTTGTATGCATTGGGTCGGAAATAGGGGTAAACATTTGTGTAAATTATATAAATAATATACAGTAACTGTTGGAGTAAGAGGGTGCTTTAGCCAAAGGAGACAGGCTTCAGTCTTTGCGTCGGCTTTGACATCTGTCCAGTTCTACAAGTAAGGTACTTTACTACTTCTACTACGACAACTACTCCACACCAGCCACTCAACCACTCAGGATTTTCTTCCTGTCAGCCACTGAGCCACTCAGGCTTTCTTCGTGTCAGCCACTTAGGATCTTGAGTGGCTGACTGGCTGTACAATAAAAAGAAATCCGCATATCCACGTACAATAAAAAGTGTACAAAAAGAGAGACTCCAAGAGGTGGGTAGTTAGATGTCTCGCGAAATAGAATCCTGTGGTTTCTACGATCGCTGCTGTTCTTAGCAAAACAGCTCGATGGCCACAAAAAAACTCATATCGCGGTCACCGCTAGATCTAGCAAACGTTCATTTTTGCAGAAAAGAACATCGCATTCAAGTTATCGTGGCACATGTTGTGATTCTAGGAGTTCTTGCCCCCTGTCCATGACCTGTACGTTCGAAGAGTGGAGGAGAATCTCTATCAGCTGGCAGGGATCAATTGAGGTCTTTTGTTTCCACACTTGGAGCCAACACCCTGAGCGCCGGGCGGATTCCAGGCATTTTCATTCCGTGACCATGGCGTTTCCATGTTTAAATAGGCCGCACTTTCTCTTCAAAACTGTCATGTCACTGCAGTCAAAGCCTGCGACCAGTCAAAGCACCTTTCTATTTGTTGCTTCAGGGACTTCATAAGTCCTAACTGGGTGACCTCTGGGTGAAGAGAAGAGCATTCTTTTGAAAAACCTGGTGGGGAAGGTGACCCAGAAATCTTCTCGACCCCGTTGAGGAAAAGGCACGATCCTTGAGCTGGCTACGGCAACGAGTACAACTTCATGCTCAGCAAAGTCTTCGACAAACAACGGAACCGATAGAGGTCCTTCGAAAAAGTCTTATCATCTGTATTTCAGAGTGAATCGGGAGGAATCTTATATCATCTCCTCACATATTGTTGCACAACAATATGGATATTTCTCAGAACGTCTAAGGCACGTCGAAACCCTGTGGATCTGTCTGACCATCCGACAAGAAACACTATCACTATACTATAGCGGCCACTAGCAATCATTGCCATCTCGTGAGATGCGCATCTGTCTGCTTGCCAGAACTTTTTGCGCTTTTTGCAGCTTGCCAAATCGAGCCATCCATGCAGCCGAAAAATATTTGTCCACCTTTGCTCGCACCAAAAAAGCGGTGTCCGAAAACTTACAAAATGCAAGGTCCAAAACTGCCTGGCATGACTCCAGAACTGGCGGCACTGGCGTATGGCCTGGCAAAGTAAATAAATGGAACATCTTCATCCAAATGACCCTGACCTTCGAACCTATATAGAAGGCTTGGGAGCCAACGAAGCCTATATTCTGTTAAAACATCGGAAGCCAAACCAGTTGAACTGACGCCGACGCCGCGCCTTAATTCGCCATTTCTGGGGTCATCCTGGCGGAAGCATTCAGAGAATATCCATGTCGTACTTCTTGGTCATCGAGCTGTACATCGATGTACAAATCCGGCTTCGCTTTCTTCAACTCTCGTAAGGCTTGGAGGCCTCTGTGCCCGATGTCGTTGTGCGCGAGCCTGAGTTCCTCTACTTTGTTGCAATGAAGCAAGCTGGCCACAATGTCTTCGACATCTTCATCTTTCAGCCCGCATGACTCCATCTGAAAGGAGCGAGCATTCGTATTGGCAACTGCCACAGCTGCATTCCTTGGCAATACGTTGCCATTCACCACAATCTCATCCAGATCGACATAGAACGGCAAAGCGGCGCAAAGAGTGTTGAGAGCCTCTTCATCCAAGTTTTCTGCCATCAGCTGCTTGGTGGTCCGCACCTTTTCTGCGAAGACCTGAGCTTGAAGCTTCAACACGGTCTCTTTGTCATCATGGTGGGTGAAACGAAGCCCCTGTTCCTCCATCTTGCGACGGAAGAGGTCTGGCGGCATGGGAACACAGGCTTCTAACGAGATCCGAAGCCGGGCCCACTGGCGTTCAGCTTGGCACCACCCTCTCAGCAAATACGGGGTGCTATTCGCTCTAAGCTGGTCAATGGAGACGGCAATGAGACCGCCTGCCTGATCCGAGAAAACCAGCACCGTTCCTGGATGTTTCCACGTCTCAGGAGTGAGCTCATCCAGAATCCGTACTTTGATGGCCTCATGGGCGTAGAGGGTGTGCATCTGTTCCAAAGCCTGCCTGAAGTAGCCCTCCTGTGGTGGTGTTCGGCCACCGTACTGATACAGGGACATGAAATCGTAGAACAGCCATACGGACCGAGTCGATGTGATGGTGGGACACCTCTGGATGATCTGGTCCAGTTGAAACCCATGCGGATCTGGATGCTCCATGCTCTCCCAAGCGTGAGAGATGGACTCAATCACCACAGTCACCCTGCGTGGTGAGGGATCCTTCACAAAGAGACTCATATTGCCAAGGGGATCAATCTCCAACTTCTGCAGCTCTGACGCTTGAACAAGTGCTGGAAGGCCAGCTGCTGTAAATTCACCTTCCGCCTCTTGCCTACGAAGGAACCTTCGGCCTGCAGCAAGAAGCTCCTGCAAGTATTCCAGTCGCACCAGAGCTATGTTTGCATCCAAGAGAGATTGGATGAGCTGCTGTGGATCTTGCAAGTCGTACTTGCCTTACAAATCAAAAGCAATGGCTGCCCAGGTGAACCCTGGTTTCGTGGGTATTGGAGCTCCCACTATCCTATAACGGTGTCAGCCACAGAGGACAACAAACCTGCTACGAACTCATCACAATCATATGTGGAATAATCGGTGGGGGTTGAGAACCCCATTTTATAGTGATAAATGACTGAACCAGGCTCTGGGAGCACAATGCCCCACTATAGAATCTAGCTTTCAACCCTTGTAGTGTACAGCATAGTTTCTCTATAGAATAAAGGGAGTCAACCTTTAAGGCACTAATGTAACAGAATTGTAGGCTCAAAATCTGAATTATCCAATAGAAACAGCCAGGGGTGGTCCTCATTCTATAGACAAGTGGGTGTAACATCAAGGCTGACATATTATTTGAGAGGATAGTTACGCAGCAATGGCAAAAGAGGTTGGCATTTTATTCTATAGAAACATGATTGAACATTGCAAGGTTCAATTCATTTAAAACAAATGGACAGAAAATGACACTCCAAAACAAGATATGTATATAGAGGTTGATATTCATTTTATAAGGACAGGGTTGGACACTCACAGGTTGATTCTTTATTTTAGAAAGGTGGGCTGAATTTTGAACAAAAAAATCATTTTATAGTGGGCCAATATTCACGGGTTATTCCACAGGAAGTGTGGGAATGCATGCACCAGATTGCACAAGAATGCGCCGGATATTTCGTGAAATCAGAATCAGAATCCAACCTACCTCACTGTAAAACATCCATCCACTCTAAAGTAAACTCTCAACCTTCTACTGTTCCAGGTTCTCTCTATAGAATCAAAACCATGTCCTCTATAAAATGTCCTCAATTGTCATGTATTCTCTATAAAATGAGGGTGACCAAACTATTGACCCATCAATATATGATTTTCTCACCTCAGAGATCCTCAGAGTGGATCTGTCTCAGGTAGGTTGACATTTGATTCTAGAAAAAACTCTCTATAAAACGCCAGGTCATTTTGGAGCTCGACCTCCCCCATTCTATAGGGGTTATTCGGCAGAGGATTATAAATAAATATAAAACACATCTTGCCGGAATTCCTTGCCCTTCTCCCAAACGTCACAAAAGACATGATAAGACGCGATGCTCCTGAGCTCCTGAGCTCCGCCTGTGATCTCTTCAGAGTAGCTCCCATCGGTCGTGACCTCAAAGAGGCACAACTGGACCATGGTGGTTGTCTTCAGTTCTCATGGATTCTCTGGCTTCCTTGAGTGGGGCCTGGGACAACCCATACCACTTGGGAAGAGCCACCAGACTCCTTCCTAAGATTTTCCGAAGGAAGTACTTGGACGATCTTGAGAAACTGTAGACCTGGTGGATGCAGCAAATATCCGTAGAATCCTTCACATGTTTAGGACGACATGATACGTCACCGAGAAACACTTACCGTTTCGGCGGTGGAAAAAACACCGCGAGAAACGCCTTATAGTGCTGAGCACGCCGAGGAAAAGCGCTACGTAGAAAGAACAAAACGTGCGACAAAATCCAACAAAACCCACCACGTAGAAAGAGACACTCCACCGCTTCAGCAGTGGCACCTTTCTACAGCGGTGGACAAGATCAAAAAAACAACATTGACAATATTTGACAATATCCACCGCTGTAGAAAGAGCCATCGCTCGAAGGGCAGCACCACCTCAAGGAATAACTCTCAAAGATTTAGAGCAACCGAAAGATGAAGTCCTGGTGAGCTGAGACAATTTTTGAAGATTCACCATCAAAGTGACGAAGAATCCTGTGGGAAAGCAGCAAGAAGTCAGGGAGGAAGAGAAGCTGAAGAACATATCTTTGATGAAAAACATATCAATACTGGAGCTATGGCCGGCACAAAGCTCAACAAGAAGACTCAAGATCCAGCAGCAGAAACAGTACAGTACAAGCAACGCTCCAAAAGGAGTTTTGGTAAATATAGTTCAACGGCCGCAAACAACGAGCTCAACAACACAGCTCGACGGCAGCAAATATTGAAAACGACCAAGACGGCTCAACACGACATCGCTCGAATCAAAGGTCCAACGCGTTCTTTAAAGCCAAGAGACCAGATTTGTCCGATCCAGGAAACTCCGCAGGATTTGGCTCAGGAAAGATGAACACAGCGAAGAGCAAGAGCTAATATGGGCCACGGAGAAGAGACTTACTGTAAGGTATATATATTCTGGAGAAGAGTCAAAACAAGTTGTCGGATATCAGAGAGGTTGTCCGGAGATAACTGCCCTCAGTTGTTGGGACACCGAGAAGATAAGATGTCAAATGCAGAGTCAGAGGGAGGAGACGAGACACGAGAAACGAAACACGCGCTCATGGAGCAAGAACAAACAACAAGGGACCTGGCGTATCAAAGTCAAATGCTCGCAATCGGCTAGAGCAACTGACTCATGCCAAAAATGAATTCTCTCTCGCAGCCGAAGTGATGACTGCACCAACTGCCCTACGTTGGGCATCTTTAAAGGTGAGAACTGGTTTGGAACACTTAATGTCACCGGAGGTGACTGGTCGTTGCGACACAAACGATGATAATGATGGCAAAGAGGTGGAAGTTCGGATCCGTCGACCAAACGAAGTGCCAAGGAGTGCAAGAAGCCCAAGCAATCACGGAATGGGATCAAAGAGGAAAAAACACCATGTCGATCCCGAGACCGCAGAAACACCAGGCCAGGCGCATTAGATGCTCATGATGAAGCCTTTCGGCAGGGCTGGCCAAGGCCCAGTCAAAAGAAGTCAGCTTCTCATTCGGCACCAGTTTCTGAACAGCAAATGTCGGGCAATCTCCTGGATGCGAGGAGGTGAGATAGGGGAGAAAATGCTGGAGAAGATGCTGGCTTGTCTATACTGATTGTCCTTAAGGCGCTCTTTCCGGCATGCTTCATGATGAACGAGCTCTTCTTGTTGATCGGAGATGGATGAGATGTTTCAATGGCATCCGGAGACATGGTTCAATCTCCCGAGTTGTAGTTGCGATTGTGATGGCACAGAGGGATTGTAGTACTAAGGCGTGTATCGGGTTTATATTTGTGGTTGTACAGTAGTACATGTACAGTAACCTCTCCTCCTTTTTGTCAGAGGTTCACTTCGAATTGGCAAATGACGGGCGCAAATTTGAGCCCTGGACAGCGTCAACGTGGTCAACCCGTTTCTCGTCAGTCTAGCAGTTCACTCCATATATGAGGAGCAAAAACATCTTCATCCTCAGAACACCAAAATCTTCCTGACATCATTATGTGCGCAGAATTGATGAACAGAACAGTTGGTTGTGGCGCCACCTGTAACGAAAAAGCCGAAGCTCCTCTTTATGATCCTTGAGAGTTCTCAGCATGCAAAAGGGTGCTTGTCACAAAGCACCAATGAAGAAGGCTTGGAATCTCACTTACCCCTGGAAAATCTGAACGGTCAAATATACAAACACCGACAGCCGACAATTGTAATCTTGATTCTGGGGACTGAAGCGATCCAGGACATCTTGCTTGTTGAAAGGTTCATTCAAAATGGAGGTGGCAACAGTGCCCAAAGCGATTCTGAGACAACAAATTTCAAACGAGCAGCGTGCCGACACTTTGCAGTTCAAGCCACGACAACCGCGCTTATTGAGCCACCATAATCCACATTGGCTTCACTCAGAGTCAGTTGGTCTCGCCTGGCAAAGCAAGAGGTCCAAAGCCAAGGGAGGTTCAGCATCCACAATGAAAACCATGGTCTTTCTCTACCAACAATGATAAAAGGAAGGAGCCTTGTGCGGCATGTTGTAGCTACGATGCTGCATGTGGAATCATGTGGATCATTGACCAGCCGAGGTGCCAGTTTGGTTTCAGGGAACATGTCTTCCTAAACTTCAACACCCCCAGCATAAAACTAGTAACTAGACAAACACAACAAGTAAATGCTTTTAGATCTTTTAGGGTTGTGAACAGCTTTGCGCTGTGCAAAACACGGATTGAAACAATGGGTCTTCACTTTCATGTCAGTGAGTTGGTATCTCATGTTTCTTCTTGTTGAGCACTCGTCACGTTCACCTCTCTGCCCAGTCTGTGAGTTTGACAAACACACTCCTACTTTCCCATGTGACAACCTGACATGTATGATGAAGCTGAGCCATGATGAGCCACAAATGAGCCCTGGTTGTGCGGCCAGTCCATCTCCCAGTGTTTTTGTCGAGCACTGAGATGAGGTTGATCAGCCACACAGTTCCTAGATGTTGCTATCGACTTCTATAGTAAAATATATGTAACATAGTAAAACACATGCCCTGTTGATGCGTGAACCTTCCACGCACAAACATACAAAGCCACTTGCGAACTGAACTCCCAGGCACAGCTTCTTTCCATCAGCGATCAGCTCGATGTTCTCGGTGTCCTTCAGCTTCAGCTTTTTCCTTTTGGTGTGGTCGGTCGGCGAACCCGTGAAGGTCGGCGCTCCGGTTCGCAAGCTTGACGCCCCGCATGACGGCTCCGGGTCCGAAGGGTTGACAACTCACACCACAGAATGGTGGTAGACAACAGATGAGCAAAAAGCTGCAAAAGGGATCTCAGCTAAGGCAAACTTCAAACCAAGAGTTCATCAGAGAGATGTGGTGCCAAGTTGCAGAACCTCCTCACGAAGATCTCTCACCGTTCGGTCGGGTCGAGGGTCACCTGAGAGAACGCAGCCAAGTACCACGGTCGTTTTGGATCGAATACGAAGGAAGATTCCTTCACTCCAGCAAAACACTGCAGCATGCCAGACCTGGCCATGTAACTATCTCAGCACTTCAGTCTTTAAAGATTCTTCTTTGCCAAGCTG